TTAGTTCGTATCTTTAATATACCTTTAAGTTTAAGATCTCTGCAACATCTTCTGCTGTTCTCTGAGCCATTCTAAAACCTCTTTTTTAGTGATTTAATATCACCCTGTTCTTAGACTGAGGTACCATTTTCTTCACAAAAAAGAAAAAAGCTACAATTTGCAACTTTGACTTGTCAGCTCTGAGCTTGTGTAACAAAATATTCTGACTGGTAGGTCTTTCTGTTGTGAAGCTCCAGCTTTGTTTTGAATTGACTGGAAAGATCAAGAAGCAATTTTTTTTAGCAGGCTTATCTAAGAGACCATAAAGAGGCTTGCTGTCTTGGTTTAGGAAAAAAATCAGTTCAGCTTCCCGAGTTCCAGTTCTCTAATGCACAGAAACTTTCATGATTATCAGCAGTGACAAAACCAAACTGAGCTCTGCTCTTCTCCCCTAAGCTAAAAGGCAGGGGCATGCCAGGAAATGCAGAGACTTGAATTCTTGTGCTGGAGGCACTGGTGGTTTTTTACGCTTGGAAGTTCATTGTTCACACCCATGTTCTTAATATAGATTTTAAAATGTGGGTGCCTGGAATCTAGATGTAAGGATAATGAACTTAATTTGTACAGATCCTTAAAACAGTAGGAAAATTATTCTAAATATTTTATTTTTACGTTATTCCTGATATTCCTTAGAGCTTGCGTGGAACGATAAAAATTGTTTAGTCCATATATATGCTACAACGCAAATTGGAATACATTGGAACTCCAGGTCATCTTCCAACAGGGACAGCGGCATTCTTTTTGTCTGGCGTAACTTTTTCCTCAGCTATCTGTTGGGGAACAGACTGATACGACAGAATAGAATATTAATCATACGATTAAATTGTATTTTTGTAAATATATGTGGGGCCAATTCTGAAAGTATGGAACTCTGTGGAACTCTGCAGATGTCTCTCTATTGTGACTTCAGATCATCCTGTTGTATCTATATTATTATTTCTCTGCTACATTTTGCTGGGACGTCCAAACCCCTCATTGTGCCAGAGCTGGGATAATGGAGAGCTGACATAATAATAGAGTTGGCAGCTTTGATCCACTCTGCTACATGGAACTATATGTACTTAAAATTAAGAGTTATAGCAGACATTATTTCTAGGCGTTCCCAGGGGCCAGATGAAACTATATTGCAGGCTGGATTTAGCCTGCGGGCTGCTAGTCGGGCATCTCAGGCTGCTTTACTTGCTCTTCATTTTATTTATAACAGAAGTTTTTAGGATTGGGTCTGCTTTTGGAATTGAATCTCTAATACAGCGAAGTCTTACTCAGTCTTGGGCATTTGTAAAAGAACATCTTGGCTGACATGCAAGGGATTAGGTTCTAGAATACTGAGCTGTCTTTCCCCTCCTGAATTATAGAAAAATGTAGTGTGAAAAGACGTTATAATATGGTGTGTAAAAATAGTGTTCAAATTGGAAGTTGAAATTCAAATCACTTCCAGTGCTGTTATTTGATTACTATTTAGAAAAACTATCTATACAGCAAGCACGTGTTCTTCTGTAAATTTGTCAAGGTAGAGAGAGCAGCTCTCTCATGAGGACATAGTTCTATAGGATCTCTTGATCTTTTCATAGACTTAATTGTCACATTTACTGTTTAACAGGCATGTATAGGTAATACGACTGCATGTTCCATGCTTATTTTCTTTGATCCAAAATGAAGATTTATTAAAAAAAATAATGCTGCAGTATGGCTTGTGCTTAGTTTCCCTGTGTGAGATTTCTCTGAGTCAGAGGCCAGAATTTAAATATTTCTTTGTGTGTATTATTTTTTTGGAGTCTTGATATTATTTATTAAAGGCTAAGAACATCCTTTCTTACTGTGCTGCTAATTAAAACTGTGAAGACTTTTTTGCTAAATATTAACTGCGTATAGGGATTGTTTTTTCTGTTGGAACTGTGAGTTTATGGAAGGTAAAATTAACAAAAAAATACAAAACTGAAAAGTTTACAATTAAGTTGCAGCCTATTACAATCTGCATGAAGAATCTGAACTACCTTGGCATGAGCGATCTTGAATCATAGGATAAGAAGCAGAGATGCAACTCAAAGAAGTACGATTTATCATCAGTCCATAAGATACTTCAGGCAGCTCATAAAGAATTCAAGAAATATCATTTACTATAATAAATGTCAAAAATTGGCTGCATTTGAAGAGAGAAACTGGAAAAGCCAAGAGTTTGCCCCTTGGCAGTTCAAGTAGACTAGTCAGTCTGTTTCACTGTGAGATATAAAGGATTTGATGCCTTGTTTTTGTATCTTCTGTTTTCCTTGGATAAAACCTGTTTCTTGTTTGGAAGAGCTGACTTTAATTTTAACTGCTGCCAGCCTTCCGTAGAAGTACTGACACAACGTAATTACAATTGGGAAAATCCTTTTCCTTTCTCTCACATGGTCCACCTGAGTTTTGAGGTAGCACTAGGTAAAGTGGTTGTGGCTGACACATCTGATTGAGGCTCATGACCTTGTGTTGGTTATTCAGGAGGTGTTACGCTGGTAACTCGGTGTTGCCTTGTAAGGAACCTTTTAGCCCCCTGACTCCTACATTCATGCTGACAGAATTGCCTAGGTGCAACTGCTGTGGCATAGTTTTCTTCCAGACCTATGCTGCTTTTTGTTTCCCTGTGTAATAGCCAGCGTTTTCCACTTCTGTTCAGTTGCTTTCCAGCAGTATAACTTCAACAGATGGTTTTTCAGAATTTTCCTGTTAAGGCCTGTTGAGCAGAAGCACTTCACAACATGCTATGTTACAGCCTAAAGGAGTAGCAGATAAAGTTTAAGTATTCAGAAGTCATTTTCACATATTAAATGTGTTGTCCAAGTGCAGAAAAAAAGGAATCTAGGATTAATTTAAGGAAAAATCACTAGTGAATTCCATTTATTTTGAAACTTCCTTTTAACTGCATTGGTTTTATTTCCTGTTTGGCAAATTGTCTGCTGCTTCTGGAATAGCTGACACGCATGAAAGGTGTAGGTTTGGTTTGTAGATGGAGGTGAGGACTTGCAAAGCCTAACACGTAAACGAATCTAGAGCTACAGTAGATGTGTACAACTGTTTTTGTGTAGGCTTTGTCTTAGTCTCTGGATTTTTGTCAAACTGTTCACATCAAGGATTTTCCTTCTCCAGGTAAGTAAGCTTTAGCAGCTTTTTTTAATCTGTTTTGCAAACACAAGTGAGTGTACTCTGAATCACTTTTGCTTTTGGTTTGTTGCTTCAGATTTTTTTTGTGTGAAGTAAAATAAAGCAGATATAGAAGTTGCTAACTTCTATATTAGATTTTGAATATGTTGATAAAAATATTTGATTTAATATTCAGCCTTTTCCTTGGGCTGAAACAAAGCTGGAAATGTGGATCCTTCTTTAAAAATTTTTTTTTTAGGTACTTCAATACAAGTGATAACAACCTACTGTACTGGGGCCTTGATTATCCACCTCTTACTGCCTATCACAGTTTTGTGTGTGCTTACATGTAAGTTCATTATTTTAAATACTTACTTCTGTGGAGCATACAAAACACCAAATTCACCACTCTTCCCCTTGCCTTTTTTTTTTCCTTTCTCTCCCTCCTCAGGAGAGAAACTAGTAGCTAAAAACTACCGATCTGGGAATCTGGGCAGCTGATGAAATGGAGAGTATTGTTTGCTACTTTAAAGCTAGGGAAATAGATTTTATGTGCATCCCTATTGCTTAAACCTAATACTGCTATTTTTCTGTCTTGTAATTATTGCAAGGGGGACTGAAGGGTTACATTCTTCTTTTTGCCAGGTCTGTGAATTTTAGCAGATTTAGATGTGACTTAGAGATTTAGCTTTCCATATCAACCGCTGTTGGATCAGTGATGCACAGAGAAAAGCGCTGTAGGAACTGGGTGCATCGCATGGGAAAGCTCTTGTGTATTGGGAGCCCAAGTGACATTTGATGACTGGATATCATGTAAATAGAATTCTGTTATTGGAATACTTTTTCCACAAGGGCTTTACTGCTGTTGGAATGAGACTTATGGAATAAGAATGTAGGTTAAAGTGCACAGGCACAGTTATGTGGGGCATCTATGTGAACTGTAAATGGTTTATATTTAATACTTGGGTATGAAAGGTATTTACAATTGTTTTTTTTAAAAGTCAGTGGAACTGGACTGAAGGTGGTTATCTTTTCCTAATAAATATTGTGTTCTATTTTTACTGTTTTCAAAGATTTTTTTTTAAATTGTGAAATAGCTAAAGTCTCTAGTGTAAACTGATTAGTGGTGAGGAAAATCTTTCATTGATCACTATTGCTCTTTGAAATATTTCTTCTCATTCATCTTAATTCTTGGAATATGCTCCTGTACGTGTCATCTTTATTGCTGAAAGGAGTGTAAAGGGAAATGAGAACTGTCTACGTTTTGATGTGTCTGTACTTTGTTTTACAGTGCAAAGTTAATAAATCCTGATTGGATTGCTCTGCACACATCTCGGGGGTATGAGAGTCAGCCGCATAAGTTATTTATGCGTACAACAGGTAGGAAAATTATATTTCCTTAGGATGATCGTACAGATTTGTCTCGCTTACTAATTTAGCATGTTTAATATCATGCAGCTTTTCTGTCTTCACCAGTTTATTTCAGTTCTTTGGCTTGGGTGGCTTTGCAGGTCTGTTTATGAACCAAACGTGTTTTCTGCCATCGTTTGTGAAGCTGATAAATACAAAATATACAAACAAGTTTTCAACCCAGTTGATTCAGTAAAAAAAAAAATCTAGAACAAAGCAACTTTTTTTTTTTGTAGGATAGACCCATTTTTAAATTTTGGAAACAGTATTGTTGTTTTCCCTTCCACTCTGATAAATATGCTTTCCATTTTCAGCTTAGCTTGGTTTTTATTGTAAAATTATTTTGCATGTAGACTGGCATTCACTGACGTAACAGCTTCTTGAGGTCTTGGAGATGTTATTTATGAGTTGTATACTTTCTCTGAAGGGAGAGATACTTGATTTTTTTTTTTTAAGATGTTACTCTTCTTTCAAACCGTCACCACTTTCTAGAGATGAACTTCTGTTAGCAAAATGTAAAAATGCATTTTGCCACTTTTATCTTAAATTTCATTTTCCTGCAGTCACTCTTCTGACCATTTGATTATTTTGAACTGCTACAAAGAAAAGGGTGGAACAAGCGCAGGAAAAAACTTGTAGATAACTTAATTCAGTAGGACAGCAAACAATGTGGCCAGTGAGCTCTTGTTCTCTAAGCAATGGCAGATGCCATATTAAGCTGTTACTGTTTTCTTTCATTTTAAATCTGTATTTTGCTTTACGTAACGCTAAAGTTCCATAAAATGCTTTCTGATTGCAACAGCAGAATTTGTTGTTCATCAGTAGCTTTTCTGTACTTCACAAACCTCTCAGTCTGGTCTCTAGTAATTGATTGAATTGAAAAAAACCAAAAATCACTAGAACTTAATTACCCTTGAAATGGTCTTTATTAATTTTGAAATCAACTCATTTGACAAACCACTGATGGATCTAGGAGAACTGATAAACACTTTTTAACAATAGCCATTAGAAGAATGCATTAAAATAATTCAGAATGGTCCATGTCAGCTGTTGGTATTACACCTTTATTTTAAGTGTCACTGTATTTGTTTTGCTAACGCCTCTGGTATATTTGTTTAATTGTGACTTAAGCCTGCAAAACAATTCATCACTGAATAACTGATATCTTTAAACATTTTCTTCCAAAGCCCGTGACTAAAAAGAGGCAAAGTATACTTTCCCTCTTGGAATAATTGTGCATTTTCTGAAACCAGTTTATAGAAATAATCTGAGATTTTTCTCAGGCTCTTAAGATAACATGCAAGAAGAATTCATCTGGTGGTTTAAGGATGAGCAAGGGTTGACATAACCCGCTAGTTATGTTTTCTTGTTGACCCTCTTGCTTATATTTGCTATAGGCCGGTGATCAAAGCCAAATAACTAGTTTTAGTCTGTTTGTCCACATCACAAGTAATTCACACGGATACACTGGAGATTGTTACAATGTAGAGTCTCTTGATTGTGTCTCCAGACTCTCTGTTCCATCAAACAACTTGACTGGATCTAGTCGTAGTTGATTTCTTTTGAGAACTAAGAATGCCTTCTCTCCTTTTGGCATGTGAGGAACTAGAGTGTGCTCCCTTCTTGACTGAGGCTGTGCCAGAAGCCAAAACAGCTGAACACATGGAAGCAACAGCAGCTTTTGGACATCAGAAATGATAGCGTTAGAAACATTAACAAGATCAAATTCTGTAGACCGGTTTCTTTTTGTCCTTTGAAGTGGAACTACCCAGTTTATTCTAAGGAAGAACTTTCTGATATTTTAATGTTTGTTTGCCTATATTTTTGCCTCGTCTTTCCCAAAACAATTGGAAAAAAAAGAGTTTTGGTGTAACTGCCAAACCTGAGCTATCTTTAAAACAATGAAACATAGTGTACCACAATGTAAGACAATGGAAAAGCATATTCAGGGGAAACTATAGTCACATGACTTTTGAACTTCATTGAATTGAATGACTAAAGTCAAGCTTGCAGTGAGGGTACAGATGCAACCCCACATTCAGAAGGTAAGCAACTAGTCTCACTCTGACACTGTGTAGTTATTGTCATCTGAGGTTTTTTACACCAAATACAACCAAGATGTGGAGCATTAAGAAGTTAAACTCTAAGCAGAGTCAAAGATTCACAAACTAGATGAAAGCATACAACTTGAATAGCATTAAGATTAGGTATGTGGGAGGATTCTAATATAGAGGTAATCTTTTTTTTTTTTTTTTTCAGTGTTTGTTGCTGATTTGCTGGTTTATATTCCTGCAGTTATTTTATATTGTTTTTCCTTGAAAGAAACATCTACTAAAAAGAAGGCAAGTATCTGGTGTATGTATGTGTGTAAATTAAAAAACCAAAACAAACCCCAAAAACCCAAAACCCAAAACCAACCAAAAAAAACCCCCTACAAATAAAACATACTGTTAAAACAGGGTAGAAATGTAACTGTATGAGAGTTAATTAACGTATAGAACACTGTGATGGCTTCAGTTGACATAAAACTGATGACAATCAGTATATCTTGTATTAAAGGCATTTCAGTTAAAAAGATAAAAAAAGCCATTAACTTATCTTACAGCAATTACTTTAATGCTTTCAAAAACAATAAGAAGATACTCTGAAGTTTAGTAACCATGAAGTCCTGAATTATATTTCTTTCTGAATTTATTACTTGGGTAGTAAAACCAAGATTTGTGCTGTGACGTGGGGGAATTTGGGAACTGCTTTGTCTTGTGCGTTCCTTATGGTAGAACCCAAACATTTTGGAATATTAAGCCTTCTGATTTTTGGAATGGTTCCAAGGTTTAAAATGGGTGCGGGTGATCTTTGAGCTGGTTAGCGAAGGGCGGGCTGGTCTCTATTCAATATTTTCTTGTTTATGGAAAACTTTTATCCTTTTTTTTTAATCCTCAAAATATTACTGACAGAAGAATACTTGTAGAGAATAAGATTCCTACGTATAGGATGCACCATGGAGGGGCAAATGTTTGTACTGGAGAAGTAGTATAAGTTCCTCTGTCTAATGTCTAATTTTTTTCCTCTCTCTTTGATCCTTCTTTCCAGGTTTCCAGTGCTCTCTGCATACTGCTTTATCCAGGCCTCATTCTTATTGACCATGGACACTTCCAGTATCCTTGCTCTGCAGTGAAATGAATTTCCATTTACGAAGTAAGAATGGTACTTGTCTGTAGCTGAGCAGAAAGTGACTTTTGTATACAAAGTCATCAGAGGGGCTTCTGCCTATCCCAAAGCAGAGATATTAAAGAAAACTGTAAGTTTGAAATATATTGGAGATAAATAGTTGATATTGGGACAAATCAATCCAAACCTGAATAGCATTCTTTCTGTGCCTCAAGCTCATATTTCTGTCAGTTACTTTATTGCAGAAAGTGTCAGTGGTACTATGACAGGAAAAAGAATGATGGCTTGTACTCCTGTGATTTGTGTTTGGAGAGGGAATCACCTAAGATCTTCTCGAGATGGCAGAGGAGTGTGTCAAGTGTAGTTGTGTAAAATGTGCAGTTCTATAAAATGTACCATTCTGTCTTGCCTTTACAACTACTTGAGACAGGATTCACTTTGCTTATTGCCTAACCAGTTAAAAGCTAGGCATCTAATACGAGTTAGGCTGTCAGAGCTAACTAGTCAATATTGGTGACAGACACCTTCACAGGTGGGTCTATTTTTAATAAGATTTCTGATTTTATACTTGTTTTGCACATCAACAAGCAAATGCTGTTAGGTGACTACTCCAGGCTGTACTGCTCAGTGCTGTCGAGCCAGAGGGACACAATCTTGGAGTTGTGATAAACGTAGATGCTTAAAGACTTGAAGGAGATACTGAATCTCGGTGTCTACTACTAAATCAAGTTTTGACAATCAAATAGTTTATTAATTTGTGGTTTTCTTCCAAGAGAGTGCATTGTGAACTTTCTAAGATATATTATCTTCCATGCAGATTTTGAAGGAAAAAAATTCATAATGCTATTGAATATTTGAGTTACGGTTCAGGAATTCTGAAATTCTATTTTTGGCCTGACTCTTTAAAGATGTAGATCATCTGGAGACATCATTTACAAGAATGGGGATGGGAATGAATGCAGTTCATCTTGGGTGAGAAAAGCTGGTGGTCAGAGGTGGCACAGGGTTACAGTTTTCTAATACGTAAAAGATGAAGGAAGAGGCAGGCAATAATCTGTTCTGCGTGTCTTATGTTGTACAGGGCAAGAAGTAACGGCCCTAAGTTGCCATAGGGAATATTTAGTGTTTTTTAAATACGTGGAAGAATCTTTTGAACCTTAATTACAGTGAAATGCTGGAATAGATTGTCTGTGGACGTTGTGGAATCTGCAGCGTCAAGGTCTTTAAGAAAAGGTTCAGCAAACCTCACGTCAGCAGGCACTGTGGTGAAGCAGACAGAGGTACCACATAGTCTCCTGTGGTCTGTTCCAGCCCTGTGACTCTTACGTGAATAACTTCACTGTCTGTGACCAGCTCCCAAGAAATCAATAAATTTACTTAACCTTAACTGCTGCTGCACATCTCTGCAAGATCAGAGCCTTTTGGTATAACAATTTGTTGATGTAAAATTGAGGAGATCTCAAATATACATGGTGATTTTGAGTGGGCTGAAAACAACAGAGACTATCTGAATGTGTTGTCATAGCTATTTATATTGACAAAGAGAAAACAAATTATTGTGAAATTTCTGACAATGCAAGCATGTCTTATTGGTTTCTCTCATTGTGTAGAAGTAACAGTAAAAGAAAAAGCTAATATTTTGTTGCAATTTAATGGCAAGTGTAGCTTAGTCCATGCAAACTCCACTGAGCTTGGGAACCTGTCCTCAAAGTCATAAGGAAGTAACGTTGCTTTTAGTAACTATTATTCATTGTTTGTACCGTATTAGCAGCCAAGGGAACTGGTCATGGATGAGGGTGCGTTGTGAGTATAATATAATCACAAAAACCTCAGGAGTCCTTGACCTAAGTAATATATAATTCGAATACTGACGTATTTGAATATTCTGCACATATCTTTTGGGAGCTGGGAGGAGAGACTCTTGAAAGCTTTATCCTTAATCATGTGAATACCAAGAAAAAAAATGTTTACTGTGATGCATCTTAGAGAGTACTGTGTCTGAAAGCTCGGTTGACTGAATATACGTTACGTGTATAATTAACACACACACGCACGATTTGTGCTCCTATTTGCCTGTGCAAGCTTTGAATCAAGCCTTGGAAATACAAAAATTACACTTTAAATAGAAGTGAAATTATTTCTGTCTGAACAACATAGTCACAACTGGCAAGGTGTTTTTAAAACTAACTTGGGAAAACTTATTGTGCTTGCTATTTTGCGCTTGTCCCTCGGGGCATTCATTACTGACTTCTAGTGCCAAGATGCGTGTCTTGTCCTTGACATAAAAAACCATATACAACTCAGTGAGCCTTGGCTTTGCCTTGTGGGGGGTACTGTGTTTGTCCTATGACTGGGACCTTTTGGGGTCAGTGGCATTTTGCTTGGCCTTAAATTACAAGCAAATGGAACTCTACCATTCTCTGCCCTTTTTTTGCTATTTGCTTGGAAAGTGCTTCAAGAAGGGACTGAAAGGAAAGGGGTAAGTGACTTTAAACTATTTTGTCTTTCTCAAGAATACACCCAGGCAGCCTGGCATTGAGAATCGGATTGTCCTTATGTGCCTGTGGGCATTTCTGAATTAATTTCTAGCGGAAGATACTTACCTTGTTGTAACGTAGTCTTCTGCAAAATAAATCTCTCTTGTCCAGAACTACATGAAGTATTTCCACTGAACAAATAGCAAAATCTGTTAAGGTGTCCTTTCTTAGCACTCTTCATTCTGTAAGCTAAATTAAATATGGGCTGCAGCGGGTAACCAGATTAGATTGACAGCAGTAGCTCTGTGGTTTTCATGGAGTTGTTCTCACTAATCTGGGGATGATGATCTTTTTCTGTGGTACTGGTAGCTCCTTTTGTTTAGATTTGTTACCTTCAGTTCTGTTTCCCTTTTAAAAAAAAGATTTATGCTATAAACTAAGAACTGGCTTTTGTTACCAGTGGCTGGATTTGTCTTTTCTGATGTAAGCTTTTCTTTTGATTGCAGGTTAGTATTGTTAACTAAAATAGCAGGGACAGTGGTGGTTTCCTTTGCTGTCTGCTGGCTCCCGTTCTGTACCGACATGGAACAAATCATGCAAGTACTCGGAA